TATAGGGTCCACAACCTTGATATACTTTATTTTTACGCTATTTGAGAACGAGGGGCGTCCATTTTGTCTGTCAGTTTTGGGCAGATTTTCACGAAATTCAAACTCAGCCGTCCTTAGGGTGTAACGGTGATATAATAATATGTTTTTTTAAATCGGGTAAAAATTATGACCTCTATAGGGTCAACAAGCTAAAAACTTGATTTTTCGTACAATCAGGGGCCATAATTCAGGAAGTTACGGTCCGATATGCGCGAATATCGGAAGGAACCAAGATCTTGGGGTTATATACTTACATTTCAAGTTTCAACAAAATCGGATAAAAAATGTGACCTCTCCGTTGTTCACAAGCTGAAAAAGTGATTTTTCGTACAATCAGGGGCCATAATCCATGAAGTTACAGTCCGATTAAAATTGTGACCTCTATACACTAGGGACTGGGTATCATTCAGATTTGATGAAAAAAGGAAAGAAACTGAGCTTACCATCTATAATCTAATACCATCAAGATTCATCAAATAACGCCCAGTTTGTGCTACCGTTTAGTTTAAGAACCACCATTTAGTTTTGACATTGGTCATCTAGTTTATGACCATTTAGTTTAATTTTGATATTGGTCATCCAGTTTATGACCATTTAGTTTCATAAACTAGACAACCGATGTCAAACTAAACGGTAGCACAAACTTTGCAGTTTTTGATGAATCTTGATGCTATTTAAGAATGAGTTTGCGAGAGAATCGCGCAAAATTTAAAAAAAACGGCACAAGCGGTGTCGGGCGATTTTGACCAAACTTTGCAGATTTGGTCATTGGGTACCCCGTATACCCCACATGAAATATGAGGTTCAGTTTCTGGAGGAATGTGTCTATTATTCCAGTTTAATCAAATAGCTCCTACGTACAGTCTTTCGTTTAATCTGGGGTCTTTCCTAAAACTTTGGACAGTGATTTAAGGTATTAAAAACGGTGAAAGTATTGTTAGTCTCCAAACGGTATCGTTTACATTGTAGCCGTTTTGATAGCCTCGTTTGTCACGCAATTAGTTTTTCTGCAATATTCTGCTATGCACTGGTTAATGGGCGTAATAAATTTCGTGAATCATGACGTAACGTTATGTAAACACATTTGGAGCTCTGTTTAAACCCGAATGATATTGTTACGCAGTTAGGTATTGGTAATGTTAATCGGACTATTGACCAGTCATAATTTGGAACTGAAATTTGCCTACATTACGGCAGTGTTGAGTGGGATTCGGTCTAATCAAACGAAACACTGCGTGGAGTATGCTACAACAGTGACCTTATGCTCATATACTATTTGTATTTACCTTTTTTGAAATATCGCTTGATTCGCTTGTCAAGTATAGACAGATGTACATGACTACTACACTATTTAGTTTTTACGATTTGCTGTTCAAAAATTCATCATCCTTCTACTAGATCATGAGATTATATTGCCGAATTACTAAAATGTTGAAAAATAGTCTAGAGAGATTAATTGTATTTACCAAGAACAGCTCTTTTGGCATTTACAGTAAATTAAGCTTTTCAAAATTTTAACAGTGTAATTGTGAGCTCAGTTTTCGTGATTAGATACTTATTAGACATATATATAATATATATAGATAGATAGATAGGTAGATAGGTAGATAGACAGATAGATAGATAGGGAGAGAGAGAGAGAGAAAGAGAGAGAGAAATAGGGTTTAACGTCCACTTGACACAAACTAGGTCATTTCGGGACTAACATATGGTTTAATTTTATTTACATAATTCGCTAGTGCGTAGGGGTCTTTAGCAGTGGGAGGAAACCGGAGGACCCGGAGAAAACCCACGAGGTTGGACAGGCGACCCTACTCCTTGCCACGTACACCCGGGGATTCGAAACTAGATAGATGATTGATTAGATAGATAGTAGATAGTAAAGTATAGCGATATTTTTTAATTTGAAATACTTATTGATAATAAGTATTTGTAGTTTTGATAATGGAACATTTTTTAAACGTGAATTGTTTGATGAAAGTATAAAATGCGTTTATATTTATTTGTTTATTTCTATTTCTATTATGGCTCGTCCTTATGGAACTGGAACCCACGTTAATTTGGTTTCCAGTGCCATGTTGCACTTTTCAGTGTGTAAACCAGCGGCTGCCAGGCAGGATACGCCCACATTTTCGAGAGATGGATAGAGAACAAGCTAAAAAGAAGGCGATTTTTCGTACAATCGGGGGCCATAATTCAGGAAGTTATGGTCCGATATGCTCGAATATCTAAAGGAACCGAGTCTGTTGGATTATAAACTTACATTTGAAGTTTGAACAAAATCAGATAAAAATTGTGATCTCTATAGGGTCCACAACCTTGATATACCATATCGCTAATTGAAAACGAACGGCGGCCATTTTGTCTGTCAATTTTGGGTTGATTTTCACGAAATTCGAACTCAGCTGTCCTTAGGGTGTAGCGGTAATACAATAATACAGTTTTTTAAATCCGATAAAAATTATGACCTCTAATGGATCCACAAGCTAAAAATGCGATTTTTCCGTAAAAAGGGACCATATTTCAGGAATTTACGGTCCGATATGCGCGAATATCGAACGGAACCGAGATCTTTGGGTTAAAAACTTACATTTCAAGTTTCAACAAAATCGGATAAAAATTGTGACCTCTATAGGGTCCACAACCTTGATATACCATATTTTTTACGCTATTTGAGAACGAGGAGCGGCCATTTTGTCTGTCAATTTTGGGCCGATATTCATGAAATTCGAACTCATTCGTCCTTAACTGACCCAAGGCGACTTTTGTCGACACCTATAACGTTACCGTTAAGTACCCACAGCGACTTTTGTCGACAAAACCGGTTAGCCGAATGCAACGTTCCTAGCGTAATGAGAGTTATTTCCCTTATGAACAGAAGACTTTATCTCATTTGTTTACTTCCTGTTTGACATTTTGACAGTTAAAAATCTTACTGTTTCTCCTTGAAAAATTATAACAAAACGGTGATACATGTATGTCTAGACCTATTCGGCAACGTTCTCCTAATGACGGATTACCATCCTTATTGAATGACAGTGATTCAGATTTTATCTGTAGTGTAGATTTTTACAGTTTTACGTTAGGCCTAGAATAGAAGTAGGCTTAGTTAATCAACAAATTTCTATTAGTATTACGGTACTTAAATAAGCTTAAAATAAAAGAGATTCGTGATGAATAATTTTTAGTTCACAGCTGTCGAACAAAAAAAATAGAAATAACCATTATATGCATGAATTTTGCATGAAATGTCTAAATTAATTTTTTGTATAAACTTATATTTATGAAAATGGCATTAAATTTAGATTATTTCATCCATTTACATTAAGGGTGTATCTACAGTTGTTTATTAATGATATGACTTTAAAATGCATATCTATATTTTAATACTATTGACCATTATGACGTGGGTTTTTATGACGTTATGACGTCAAACCTCTGGGTCGTTTAAGAGTTAAGGTGTAACGGTGATATAATAATACGTTTTTTTAAATCGGATAAAAATTATGACCTCTATAGGGTCCACAAGCTAAAAACGCGATTTTTCGCACAATCAGGAGCCATAATTCAGGAAGTTATGGTCCGATATGCGCGAAGATCGACAGGAACCGAGATCTTTGGGTTATAAACTTACATTTCAAATTTCAACAAAATCGGATAAAAATTGTGGCCTCTATAGGGTCCACAACCTTGACATACCATATTTTTACGCTATTTGATAACGAACAGCGGCCATTTTGTCTGTCAATTTTGGGCCGATTTTCATGAAATTCGACCTCAGCTGTTTTTAGGGTGTAACTGTGATATAATAATACGTTTTTTTTAAATCGGATAAAAATTATGACCTCTATAGGGTCCACAAGCTAAAAACACGATTTGTCGTACAATCATGGGCCATAATTCAGGAAGTTACGGTACGATATGCGGCTGATTTTCACAAAATTCGAACTTAGTCGACCCTAGAGTGTAACGGTGATATAATAATACGTTTTTTTATATCGGATAAAAATTATGACCTCTATAGGGTCCACAAACTAAAAACGCGATTTTTCGTACAATCAGGGGCCATAATTCAGGAAGTTACTGTCCAATATGCGCGAATATCGAAAGGAACCAAGATCTTTGGGTTATAAACTTACATTTTAAGTTTCAACAAAATCGGATAAAAATTATGACCTCTATAGGGTTCACAAGCTAAAAACACAATTTTTCGTACAATCATGGGCCATACGGTACGATATGGGCCAATTTTCACAAAATTCGAACTCAGTCGACCCTAGAGTGTAACGGTGATATAATAATACGTTTTTTTATATCGGATAAAAATTATGACCTCTATAGGGTCCACAAGCTAAAAACGCGATTTTTCGTACAATCAGGGGCCATAATTCAGGAAGTTACAAGCCAATATGCGCTAATATCGAAAGGATCCAAGATCTTTGGGTTATAAACTTACATTTCAAGTTTCAACAAAATCTTGGGCTCACTGGCCAAGCCAGCTATGCCCTTGGTTATTATGAATGATGATACCTTCGATAGGTCAGTAGAGGGACTCTCAATTCAAAGAAACCTCGGCCATGTCTTTGATATTCTCAAAGATCATCGTTAGGGTATAAGGAATAAGTATGTAAAGTTTCAAGATGATCAGTTAAGAATTGCGGCCTGTAGGCGAACCACACACACACATACAGGGGCAATCTTTGTAATACTGAAAATAATTGGACTAATGTTTGGAGTGATATCATTAGAGACTCAACTGTCAGAATTTTGTAGTTTGGAAAGGATTCAAAATCCCTAAAATGACAATCAGAGTCTTTAAGAGTCAGACAACAATTATTATTATTCCTACTTAAAGCGTTCTCTACATTGTTTATTAGCTGATGAAGGATATCTCTATATTGTTCATTAACTTACGAACAATACACTTTGAATCTATTTGCGGAGAATGGTAGGCTACATACCGAATGCATCGTGCATCACATTTTCTTCTTCATCATCTTCAGCAGCATCTAACAATGGTGAGAATGCATACCTAAAACAAAATATTACAAGACAATTCTTAGTTTACCAAATAAATGATGTGCAGTATCAACTATTAGACACTTTATAAATAGTAAATAGGCACTGCCTTGTGGACGAAATCCATTATTACTTCAATCAAAGATAGGTTGCCAGGCAACGAATTATATGCCCACAAGGGCTAAATCGTTATCCATTTCATACAGATCGGTTAATAACTTTCGTAGTTGGAGTGTTTACAAGGTTCAACAAAGTGCAACAAAGGCTATAACTCTAGAAGTAATTAACAGAAATTGCTGAAATTCGTTGTTAGAGCTTTCACAAGTGAAACAAGGGCCATAACTCTAGAAATAATCTACGGATATTGTTGAATATCAACAGGCTTCAAAAGTGAAACAAGGCCCATAACTGTAGAAATAATTAACAGAAATTGTTGAAATTCAATGGGCTTCTTTGTTTCACTAATTTAAATAAATGCATATAAATTTAATACAGATCGGCGATATGATAACAAGTGAAACAAGGGCCATTGCTGAAATTCAATAGAATTCTGTTTCACTAATTTAATTAATGCATACACAATTAATACAGATCGGATGATAACTTTTGTTAAACAAGGGTCATAATAAACGGAAATTGCTGAATTTCAATAGGCTAAGTCTTAGTACTGTAAACAACATAATATATAAATTTAAAAAATATCCTGTGATAACTTTTGTTGTTGGTGCCTCCACAAGGTTCAAGAAAATGAAACAAGGACCATAACTATTGCAGTAATAAACGGAAATTGCTTAATCAATAGGCTTCTTTGTTTTACCAAATCAAATGATGCATACAAATTTAATGCAGATCAGGTGATAACTTTTGTTGTTAGAGCGTTCACACGGTTCAACAAAGTGAAAATTGTTAAAATTTAATAGGCTTCTTCATCTCACTAACGGATGGTGTGACGACAATATACGAGTACATTTAAAGCATTTAAAAGTTCAAGAGTTAATAATTTTTATATTAAATCTGACCCCAAGTTCACAAAGCATTCTTAGACTTATTCTATAAATAAATATTCTATTCTATAAATAAATATACTCTTCAAAAAAAGTAGGGGATATTCAGAAACAATACAAAACTGCAGAAATGCACTGCTGTTTTTATTAGAGATAACCAGTGTATGTTAATAACAGGAAAATTGCCTACACATGAACATAAACAGTTCATATGGGTGGTTATCTGACGGCCCCATTTCACTCGCAGAGAAATACTGTCAAAGGTGAAAATGGACGTTTTTGATTTTTGTCTTAATAATGAGTAATTGCTCCACTAATCCTCAGACATTCAGCAATTCGTCGTGGCGTACTCCTAATCAACCGTCCAATCACGATTTGGGGCAATCTGACCCACTCCTCTTGCTGTGCCACAGACAATTCTTGCAGTGTTGTCGGTTGAAGTTGACGTTGACGAACACGTCTACCGATCAAATTAAACGCAACACACTAAAGCAAAGATACGCTAAACAGTAAATCTTATGCAAGAACCGATAGGAAAGCAAACATGGATAGGATAAACCAGCAAGTGGCAGTTTTCATCAACCCTTCCTTGAAGTGTAGAATTTGACAATGAACCCCTCCCACGTGTATGGCGCTATTGCGTGTCGAACATGCAGCTCAGTGGTTCTGTTGGGGCGATAAGTTCTTCATCTGTGAACATACTCTCAAAGCATGTCAAGTGTACATGACTATTTATCATATCACAAACTGCATAGGTATTTGCATTTCAATATCCCCTACTTTTTTTGAAGAGTATATAATGAGGCCAGTTATCTTCTTTATATACACTAGGGACCGGGTATCGTCCAGACTTTACGAAAAAAGGAAAGAAACTAAGCTTATCGTCAAGAATTTAATACACGTATCCAGCTAATAGATTGCCGTCAAGAATGTGTTAAATGCCGTCAAGATTCACCAAAAACCGCCCAGTTTGTGCTACCGTGTAGATTAAGAAACACCGTTTACTTTTGACAACGATCGTCTGCTTTACGACCGTCCAGTTTCTCGGGATGTTTTTTTAGAAATGAACACTACCATTTAGATTTGAAAGGGGTTTAGTTTTTAGACAAGGCGTTTATTTTCAAGAAATGAACAGAGTGTTTAATTATTTAAGGCGTTTAGATTTTATGCCAAATTACCGCTTTACCGAGAGTCGTCTAGTAACTTACGGGTGAGTAGTAATGCAATGCCGTTTACTTTTCATGTCTTGTAATTAGTTTGCACAGTGTCATCTAGAAACTTAAGGCGTTTGTTTTTGTGTGAAATATTTAATTTCTGTCTCCCAATTTTAGAAACTCTGTTCAGATTTAGAATCTGAGTATAGTGTCTAAAATTCTCGAATGAATTGCATATTTGTTGAATATCGTCCATTCTTTGGTATTGCCGACGTCCGTTGGGAAAAGTCGATTTACAATGAATTGACAATTTTCCCGGCGTAGATAAAACTCACATTTTATTTATTAAAAAATAACAAAACAATGGACGTATATCTTGTTACTTATAATCTTGCTTTCTGTGTTATTTACCCGCTTCCGCAATTAATAACAAATGTATTTGTGAATTTACAAATTAATGTGTGCAGTTCTCGTTTTGGCCACAAATGAAACGTCATTTTCGCCATTTATCTAGACATCTTTGGGGGACTATTTTCGCCAACATTTATTTTTGTATCCCCACCCCTTGGGAATGTTAAAGAAATACCGAAGGAGGGGAATTGCTAACAATTGTAGGTACAGTTTCCCCACATTGAAACAGGCAAGGACCGCAAATCGTATCTAGTTTATAATTGGTCTTGTCACAATAAAATCGAGTATTTCTAATCAAAAAACAAAAGCAAAACAAGCAGGGTCATTATAATATCTAATATCCAAATACATGGAAAGTTCCTCTACAAACTATATGCACATATATTGCACATATAACACTTATCAGTTTACACACTAACATTCGGGATACCTCACATCCAAGTCTAAAACCTAATCCACATATTGTTTACAAACACAAAATATAAAAACATATTTACACAAAACTCCAAAATTTAATCGGCGATATCAGATTATATTCTTTGAATGACCTACTGCTATTGTTTTATAAATGACAAATTCCAGCCACGTCCTAGCTGTCTCTGTTCCATCCGAAACCATAGCCTTTGCCGTCGCTTGGAATATACAGTCATAAATGTTCGTCATTACAATTTAGATTATATTCTTTGAATGACCGCCTGCTTATATCACAAATTCTAGCCACCTGTCTCGGTTCCGTCTGAAACCATATCGCTCACAGACGTGTAATTACACCACCATCGCATGGAATATACAACAGTCATAAATGTCTGTCGTTAGATTCTTTGAATGGCCGCTACCTATTGTTTAATTAATCCCCTAATCCAGACATATGGTTTTGTAGTGAAGTATATTCGTGTTGTTATTTAATTGCTATTATGATTTTAGGTTTTTAGAATACTTCACCGATATTTTTGTAATAAAGTATACTCGTATTGTTTGTTAATTGGCTTTATGATTTTAATGTTTAGACAACATTTAATTGACTTAATATGAAATCTGAATATAAATTATTAGATGGATAAATAAAAGGTATTTTAAAATTACATATTGACAACTTAATCTCTCGCTAAAATACAATTGGATTGATATTATTTGCGGCATCATAATTAATTTTAAAACTAATCGTTGATTTAATTTCCGCACACAAAATGGAACTAAAGAATTCCGTATATGAATCAATTTAGAATACCAAAATGCGAATCGAAACACGTTGTGGTCAAAACTATGTAATAAATTATAAAATAAATCATAAATGAATGGAACCTGTTGTGAGGTGGACACTGCATGCTTTCTTTTAACGTTGGGTTATTTGAGGTGCCAGGTAGTCTGACCAACTGAAAATAACACGTGTCGAAAAAGTGACTATGTGCAGTTTATTCTTTGATCACAGGGCAATTCTGTTAGGGTGAAACCAACCTGCAGGAAAGGGATATATTACAAGTTGAAAGTTTTGCATTGAATATCGCTCGATTGTAGGCCATGTAATTTTAGTGAAATTGGTGCCGAGAATTGGTGTGTTCGGAAAATAAGCTAAAGCGTATGTAAAGGAAGACGTTGGACACCATTCATGATAAAATATTTATAAAATGGGAATTATATGAACTGGGGAAGAAAAGTGTACCTAGACTATAGAGGTGAGTCGTTTAGTGGCTGTGTAGTGATGTTATTTATTAATGAAATTGTTATTGAATAAAGTGATTTATTTTGTTGTTTGTTATTTATAAATGCAACCGCTCTAGATTGGCGAGTCTGTCACTTGGCGTAAAGAAAATTATACTTATATCAAACACTCATATTATACTGACTATGAATATTTCTGCGTCCCTAACATTACACAATGTCGCGTGGAAAAGTCAACCAATGCAGCGTGGATGACTTAACCAGATTTTTCGTGTGGACGTCTTGACTAGCATATATCTGACAATCGAAAAAAAAAATATTGACTGTCAATATGAGAAAAAGTCAGTGCATTACCATGTTTTTATTAAGTATAGAATGAATAAAAACAAGGGAATGTACGGACAATTGTCAATTCATTGTAAATCGACTTTTCCCAACGGACGTCGGTAATACCGAAGAATGGACGATATTCAACAAATATGCAATTCATTCGAGAATTTTAGACACTATACTCAGATTCTAAATCTGAACATAGTTTCTAAAATTGGGAGACAGAAATTAAATATTGCACACAAAAACAAATGCCTTAAGTTTTCTAGATGACACTGGGCAAACTAATTACAAGACATGAAAAGTAAACGGCATTGCATTACTACTCACCCGTAAGTTACTAGACGGCTCTCGGTAAAGTGGTAATTTGGCGTAAAATCTAAACGCCTTAAATAATTAAACACTCTGTTCATTTCTTGACAACGTCCTTGAAAATAAACGCCTTGTCTAAAAAATTAAACCCCTTTCAAATCTAAATGGTAGTGTTCATTTCTAAAAAACATCCTCAGAAACTGGACGGTCGTAAAGCAGACGGTCGTTGTCAAAAGTAAACAGTGTTTTTTAATCTAAACGGTAGCACAAACTGGGCGGTTTTTGGTGAATCTTGACGGCATTTAACACATTCTTGACCGCAATCTATTTATTAGCTGGATACGTGTATTAAATTCTTGACGATAAGCTTAGTTTCTTTCCTTTTTTCGTAAAGTCCGGACGATACCCGGTCCCTAGTGATATAATTCTCACAGTAGATTATTACAGGCTTCCTATAAGTGGTATAAATAACCAATGATGGATAACAACATTACCTTTGATTATTTGTTGATGGCCTCCATAATATCATAATAATAAATAAAACCAACAAGAACAACATATGCCAGAAAGCTTCATCCACCCATAATTCCTTCCAGTCCTTTAAAAAAACAAAATTCAAATAAACTGATAATACATGTTATCAGGAAAATGGTGAAAAGTACAATATTTCTGTTTATAATACTAGTCATTTATTTTAGCTGTGCATTGCTCCTATACAATATAGGCTGCAGTTTTTGGCAGATTTTTTTATTTTGGTGTGAGAAGTCACAAGAGGTCGAACCCTATCCATATTCAGCGATCTACGTTTTTCTGTTCGGTTATTGTTACTCTTTTTCGTTAATGACTTATCCCTTTTAAATTTGGTGAGAAGCATTGGGGTCATGAGAGAATGAACCTTATCGATATTAAGCGGTTTGCGACTATTCATTCTGGAATCATCCCCCCTTGTGAACCCGATAGAGGCTCTAGTTTTTAACAGATAAAATTTGGTGTGAAGCATTGGGGTCATGAGGGGATGTACCCTATCGATATACAGTGTTTTACAACTTTCCGTTTTGGAGTTGTGCCCCTTTTTCCGAAAAGCCTTGTGAACGCGATAAAGGCTAGTTTTTAATGGTTCTTTGTCATATTTGGCTTGAAGAATTGACGGATCGCGAGTGCAGACGTAGCCACGCCCCTTATAATAAAGCGAGATAACCCAATTTAAGCCCGTCACCAAGCCAAACAATAATGGCGGCAGTTTTAATGTATCTATATTGATTTGGGCCTGTATAAGTTTTTCAGCCAAACAGCTGATGCAAAACCGTAATAAAAACAATATCACTAGTTAACCCCCTCTGTTTTCAGTACCATAACAAAAACACAATGCGGTATTTTATATTCCATTTTTATTTCTCAATAAGGAATGGCATAAAATTCGTTTAAACACAACAGACAAGCCATACTTGATTAACACAGCTGAACAAGCCCAGGCTAACTTTATTGGTTAGGAGTTTAAACCCTATGTTCAGCTATTTTAATTGTCTCTGTAACGGCTGGGACACTCATTTGGGAGGCAGATGATGGCACAAATGGTGGAATATTTAAGCATAATCCAACATTATTGATTTCTTTTTCTATCGTAAATCCTTTATCGGCCATAACTCCATCACCTTCTTGAAGTTTACCACTTTGTAATAATGATTATAAAGTGTCCAAAAACCCACTTCTGTGCGTTATTTCTTTGTCTGAGATTGATCCAGAAAATAACATAGATGCAAACACAATAGATCCCCTTGGCTTGGGTCGACACCAACAAGACCCTTCAATGTGGTACAAGATTTATAGTCTGAATAACATTGGTCTCTGAATTTTTATTTCTGTGCCATCAATTATGACCATTGTGTAATTGGGATAATCAGTTTTAAATTGTTCTGGCATATTTTAATGATAATGTCTCTGTGTGGCCATATAGCAAGAGAGCCAAGTCTGAAAAACATAGTTGATCCAATTAGTAAATAAACAGCTACAATCTTGAGAAGAAATTCCAAACATATCTGATATGTGTTTAAAATCAAAGTTCTGTCTTAATTTTATTAACACTAATAAAAGCTGATCATCTAAAGAAACACTGACTAAGCTGCTAATATTCTTAGAAAATTCAAACGGTAAATCATTTGCTGGTACAAAGATAGGTTGCCAGGAGGTCGACAAGGGTTATCGAATATTTATTCCTTTGTAGGTAATTGGGGGCCTTTACAAGACAGTTCCATACAGATCAGATTATAATTTTTGCCGGTTGAGGGTTCACAAGGTTCTACAAATTGAAACAAGGGTCTCAATTCTAGAAGTAATCTACAGAAATTGTTGAAATAGGTAGAAAGGCAACCCCTTTAACCAGAGAAGATAGACGAACTCCTGGTAGATTATAAACTAATTTATTCTAAACGTTTCGGACTAAAGGTGTCCTTCCTCAGTAATGATTTGATGGAGCGAAGCGTACAGTATTTATAGGTAAAATGATTGTGACGTAATAAGAGTGTTTAGGATTGGTCTTGAGTGAATTGGATTAATCCTGATCAGCTAGGAATGATCAGGATTATTCAAGATGATTAGTTTATTTTTTGGAGATAGGTGTGCCAATAAGTGTAATTTTAGATTTTCAGAAATAAAGATAGGTTGCCAGGCAACAAAACATACGCCCACAGCAGCTAATTCGTTTGAGCAGTCGACAAGGGTTGTCACATATTTATTCTTTTGTATGTAATTAGGGGAATTTAATAGACAATTTCATGCAGATGACATTATAATTTTCGTCGTTTGAGGGTTCACAAGGTTCTAAAAACTAAAACAAGGGCCATAATTCTGGAAGTAATCTACAGAAATTGTTGAAATTCGACAGGCTTTTTCGTTTTACTAATTCAAATAATGCATATCGTCGGTGTCATTCTAAAACCTTGTAAGTCCGATCAACAAAATTTTACAGGAGGAACAAATAACTTCATAACTTATCAAATACTTGGCGGATTGGCTTAACATTTTCTTTTTGTACCTTTGAAAATAACCCCTATTTGATGTTCTGTCAAATATAAGCTGACGTTTGTTCATTTTTAAGATTTCGGACTTACGAGGTTTTCACCCCCAAATCTGTTTTTTTCTTACGACATACAAGGTTTCTGAACGTTTTTGTACCAAAACTGTATGATTTACGAGCTTCTATATTCGCGTTGCTAGAGATAAATTGGGCATAAAAATGAAGGGAAGTCATAAGTATTGTATTATGCCATTCTCTTTTCGGGTATTGACAGTGGGTAAGTAGGGGCGGCAAGTTACATGCGAATTTCGGCAACAGGTAGATATAGATACAAAGTAGACCCAAAAGATCAATACCTTAAATTGAGGGATTTTGAAGGTGGATCCAAGTCTTCAGGAGGGTACTTTAATTGAGGGATATTGCATGCAGCTAGTTATATACATTGTATGTTCAGTGGGGTAAGTGGCGTGAGGGATATGGCCCACAGGTAGATCTAGATGCTCAGTGGGGTAAGCTGCCTGGGGCGTATTGCCCACAAGTAGGTCTAGATGCTCAGTAGGGTAAGTTACTTGAGGGGTATTGCCCACAGGTAGGTCTAGATGCTCAGTAGGGTACGCTATTGATGGGTATTGCCCACAGGTAAGTCTAGATGCTCAGTAGGGAACGGTATTGATGGGTATTGCCCACAGGTAGGTCTAGATACTCAGTAGGGTAAGCCTAGGTGCTCAGTGGTGTCATTTACTGGAAGGGTATTGACTACCGGCAGGTAAAAATTTTCAGATGGCTAAGTTAGCTGAGAGATATCATCTATAGGTAGGTCTATATGCCCACTGGGATAAGTTACTTGATGAGTATTGCCCACAGGTTAGTCTAGATGCCCAGTTGGGTACGTTACTTGGGGTTTATTGCCCACAGTTAGGTCTAGACGCTCAGTCGGGTACGTTACTTGAGTGGGGTTATTGCCCACAGGTAAGTCTAGATGCCAAGTGGGGTAAGTCACTTGAGAGATATCGCCCACGAGTAGCTTACTTAAGGGGTACTGCCCACAGTTGAGTAAGTTACTTAAGGGCTATTACCCATAGGTAGGTCTAGATGCTCAGTAGGGTAAGCCTAGATGCTCAGTGGGGTAATTTAATGGAAGGGTATTGCCTACCGGTAGCTAAAAATGTTCAGACGAGTAAGTTACCTGAGAGATATCACGTATAGATAGGTCTATATGCCCACTGGGATAGGTTACTTGAAGAGTATTGCCCGCAGGTATGTCTAGATGCCCAGTCGGGTACGTTACTTGGGGGTTATTGCCCATAGGTAGGTCTAGACGCTCAGTTGGTTAAGTTACTTGAGGAGACTTATTGCCCACAGGTAGGTCTAGATTCCTAGCAGGGTAAGTCACTTGAGAGATATTGCCCACAGGTAGCTTACTTGAGGGATACTGCCCACAGTTGATTAAGTTACTTAAGGGTTATTACCCACAGGTAGGTCTCGATAATCAGCATGACAACTTACTAGATGGGTATTGCCTACAGGTAGGTGTAGGTGTTCAGTAAGATAACTTACTTAAGGGATACTGCCCACAGATAGGTCATGATACTCAGTGGGGTAATAACGTACGTGAGGGGTATCAACAGTAATATGAGAATTTTAGATGATTCCGAGAGACTTATTTGCTTGAAAACTGAAAAAAAGATCCATGTCAGAATTATAGAATTTGACTAAGAGATTATCGTGGGACGTTATTATTGCAGTGGCTTTTGTATATTCAATATAGAAGCGTAAAACTGACACATCTTATTACATCATATATCCTGCGAAATTTTGTCATATATACCGCTTTAAGGCCTTTGACATCGTCATCGATAACACGTTGCCTAGATACGACATTTAGAAAAGAACAAAATCAGGCCAATCGTGATACGAGGTTTGGTCACACGCTAATAAAATGAAAAGTATTTATCGCAGAACTCTGATTTTTTGATATATCATGTATTTTATGTTAAAAAATTAAATTATGCAAAAAAGTGATTTTCGAAACAATGCCGACTTACGAGGTTTTGTAATGACACCGACGATATAAATTTCATACAGATTGGATGATAACTTTTGTCGTTCGAACGTTCACAAAGTTCAACAAAGTAAATCAACGTAATTGACAGAAATTGCTGACATTCAATAGGATTCTTCATTTCACTAATTTAAATGATGCATATAAATTTCATACAGATTAGGTGATAACTTTTGTCGTTCAAGCGTTCACAAGATTCAACAATGTGAAACAAGGGCCATAACTCTAGATGTAATTAACGGAAATTTGCTAAAACTCAATAGGCTTGTTCGTTTTACTAATTTAAATGATACATATAAATTTCATACAGATCGGATAATAACTTTTGTCGTTAGAGCATTTACAAGGTACAACAAAGTGAAACAAGGGCCATAACTGACGGCGCAATTAACAGAAATTGCTGAAATTCAATAAGATTCTTCGTTTCACTAATTTAAATGATGCATATCAATTTCAAACAGATCGGATGATAACTGTTGTCATAAGAGTGTTCACAAGATTCAACAAAGTGAAACAAGGGCCA